TCATCTTAGTGACCTTTGGCCTGACAGACAGAACTACAGGAAGTCATATTAGTGACCTTTGGCCTGACAGACAGAACTACAGGAAGTCATCTTAGTGACCTCTGACCTGACAGAACAACATTAAGTCATCTTAGTGACCTTTAACCTGACTGAAGTACAGAAATCATCTTATAGTTGGGGCCGAGATGGTGTAGAGGCAGGGCAGCCGGCTTGAGACCCGAAAGTCCCAAGTTCGATCCCCAGTCACTGCATACCGAGTGGTGTCTCTGGGCAGCACACCTCATCCCCAAAATAACCCCTCCCCACCCACGCCCTCAATAGCTGCCCACTGCACCACCTGGTGGTGGATGGGTTAAATGCAGAGACTAATTTCACCATTGTATGGAAACATACAGTGATGACATTGTGATTGACATTATTATTGTTACATTAGTGACCTTTGGCCTGACAGACAGAACTACAGGAAGTCATCTTAGTGACCTTTGACCTGACTGAACTACATGAAGTCATCTTAGTGACCTTTGACCTGACTGAACTTCAGGAAGTCATCTTAGTGACCTCTGACCTGACAAAACCACAATAAGTCAACATTGGGGAGTGGTGGCACAGAGGTTAGAAGATGGGCTTGTGATCGGAAAGTCGCAGGTTCACCTCCCGGTACCGTCAACATCAAAATGTGGGTGGAAAAAGGTGAAACACCCACACCTGCCCCCACCCTCATTCGCTCCACCCTGGGCCCATGAGCAAGGCTCTTAACCCCCAACATCTGCTCCCTAAACAGGTCTCTCTTGAAAATGTGTTCCCGTGGCTCAATGAGACTACCTGGATAAATAAAGGCTAAATGAAAAATTAAGTCATTTTAATGACCATTAACCTGACTGAACTAGAGGAAGCCATCTTAGTGACCTTTGACCTGACAGAACAACATGAAGTCATCTTAGTGACTTTTAACCTGACTGAATCACAGGACGTCATCTTAGTGACCTTTGACCTGACAGAACAACATGAAGTCATCTTAGTGACTTTTAACCTGACTGAATCACAGGACATCATCTTAGTGACCTTTGGCCTGACTGAATCACAGGACGTCATCTTAGTGACCTTTGACCTGACAGAACAACATGAAGTCATCTCAGTGACTTTTGACCTGACTGAAACACAGGAAGTCATCTTCATGACCTTTGACCTGACTGAACCACAAGAAGTCATCTTAGTGACCTTTACCTGACAGACAGACAAAGACCAATAGCCTGGCTAAGGCTCCTACAGGAAGTGCATATTGACCTCTGACCTGAAATGGCGTTGGTAACAGACATAAGGGGCGAGTGCAGAGCGGGGGTCACGCCCCACACCGTGTGGTATCCCACGATCCCTGCCAGACCGAAGGTCGTGATCATCTGAGTGAACGCTGCGTTGGGTGAGATGATCCCCAGAGCGAGGCAGGTGGAAACACCTGGAATACAGAGACACACATGAGGAAGCACTCCTGTCAATCATTTATGTTCAGTTGTCATCAGAGGGATTTATGTTGAATGTTTGTAGTTAAAAGCTTAAAAAAATCTGAATAAATAAAAGTATTTTTTTTAATCAAAGTTATTTTGTCTTTAATTTCTCTTCTGAATGCTGAGTCATCACTTTGCTGCCATATGAGGGTTTCTGTACATTTTCTGCACTTTGTTCTGTTTGAGCTGTTCAAACATCAAAACATTCAGCTCATTCAGGAAATAGCTGGTCTTTTTGTATCTTTTGAACTTTTCAAAATAATAAACTTTGTATACAAATATAGAAATACACAGAGAGCTCTTTAGTTCCTTATAAATCAAAAATCTTTCTAAAACATGTTTTATGAATCTAGCTTTGATTTTGTCTTTCTATGCTACATTTAGCTGTTAACTAAAGTTTTGCTACTTTCAGCTGTTGCTACAGGTTTTGCTACTTTTTTAAAATTTTGTTTCTGCTGGTTTCAGCTCCTGTTCGGATAGCTTTGGCTACAGTTCTGCTGCTTTTAGCTTCTGTTCTGCTGCTTTTAGCTCTTGTTCTACTGATTTTAGCTCCTGTTTTGATAGATTCGGCTCCTGTTATGCTGGTTTTAGTGCGGCTGTGGCTGAGTGGTTAGAGCAGTCGTCCTCCAATGCAAAAGTTGGGGGTTCGAATCCACCAGCAGTCACATGCCGAAGTGTCCCTGGGCAAGAAACTGAACCCCTCGTTGCCTCTGATGTGTGTCCCATCGGTGTATGAATGTGATAAAGCTCTAATTAATCTCTTTAGAATGATAGGTGCTATATAAGTAGAGTTCATTTACTATTTTAGCTCCTGTACTGATGGTTCTAGCTCCCGTACTGCTGGTTTTAGCTCCTGCTCTGCTGGTTTTAGCGCCTTTTCTTTTGCTTTTAGCTCCTGTTCTGATGGTTTTAGCTCCTGTTCTGCTGTTTTTAGCTCCTGTCCTGATGGTTTTAGCTCCTGTTCTGCTGTTTTTAG